AGGAAGATGTAAAAGACTAAGACATGCTTAGTTATTGCAAATCTCAGAATCACTGGTGTGTACAGTTGATGGTAGAAATGGCAAGAGGCTGAAAGTATGAGTAAGCCCAGATCATAGAGGGCACTGTATGACATAAAGAATATTTAGACTTTCTTCTATAAGACAGTTTTGTCTAAACTGATGCAGACAAACTCACCTCAACCACATCAGCTCTGTTTCATCTATTCAAGTTACTTATATTTCCATAGAAGACTTTTAAGTTAGAAAAATCAATAAAAAATAGGCAGCAGAGAGACACTGATAGATTTCATACAGCAGAATGATGTGACTGGCTACAACATGCTAAATGGCATTGAAGGGTTGGATATCATTAATCAAGAGGTTTTAAGCTTAGCTAGCAGAGAAATGACAAGGGACTAAACTAAGGAAGTGATAGTGAGATGAAAAGAAGTGGATATGGCAGAAATATTAAATTTAAGGGAGATCAGTGAAATTTTGTTTTCAAACTACACAGCACAGTGCCTGTGATAACTCAATAAATGTTAACTATCATCATTATCATCTATAGAACCTGGTGGTTGAACAAATGTGGAAAGTAGAGACTCAGCAATAAAGGAGAATAAAATCATGGCATTTGCAGGTAAATGGATGGAGTTAGAGAAGATAATGCTATATGAAGGTAGTCAACCCCAAATAACCAAATGATGAATGTTTTCTTTGCTATAAGGAGGCTGACTCATAGTGGGATAGGGAGAGGGAGCCTGGGAGGAATAGACGAACTCTAGATAGGACAGAGGGGTTGGAGGGGAAAGGAGGGGACATGGGGTTAAAAATGATGGTGGAACGTGATGATCATTACTATCCAAAGTATAGGTAGGAAGAAATGAGTTGGTGTGAATATACTTTGTATACAATCAGAGATATGAAAATTTGTGCTCTAAATGTGAAATAAGAATTGTAATGCATTCCACTGTCATATATAAATAAAAGAAGAAGAGAAAAATCAACAGAAGTTTCCAAGTGTCTAATAGATAATGTTGCCATTCAAAAAGAATAGGAATATAATGCTCTTTGGGGGGATATTGTGCATTTTGAGACAAGGACAAGGAAGATGAATACAGCATTAACCATGCTAAGTTTAAGGTACTACTGTGGAATAGCTAGACGAAGATGTTAAACCGCAGGATATATGGACCTGGAGCTGAGGACAAACTCAGATTAGGAGACATGAATAACAGAGAGAGCAAACATTACCCTCAAATAGTGGTGCCTATTTGGGTCACTCAATCTAAACTTTGTTCTAGGAGAATCATAGACCCTTATTTCCTACTAGTTACGAAAAGCAACTCAAATGGCTTAATGAGTTACATGTAATATTTAAAACTATAAAACTACCAGAAGAAAACATAGGGGAAATCCTTTAAGACATTGGAACATACAATAATTTTCTGGGTAAGACCCAAAAAGTACAGGGAAATAAAAGCATGCATAGACAAAATGGATTACATCAAATGAAGTTTCTGTACCGCAAAGAGAACAATCAATACAGAACAAAGCAACTCTATAGAATGGGAGAAAATAATTTCAAAAAATACACATGAAAAGGGTTAATATCCAGAATGTATATGGAACTCCAAAAGCTTACCAGCAAAAAATTAATAAAAATAAACTGATTAAAAATGGGCAATTGACCTAAATAGACATTTCTCAAAGGATGACACAAATGGCTACAAGGTATATGAAAAAAAAAATGTTTAATATCACTAATGCTCAGGAAAAATAAAAATTGATACCATATGAGGTATTACTTCACTCCAGTAAGAATGGCTATTTTCAAAAAGATTAAAGATAAATGAATGGTAACAAGGGGATGTAAAAAAAAAAAAGGGAATCCATGCACACTGGTAGTGGGAATGTAAACTGGTAAAGCAATAATGGAAAACAGTATGGAGAATCCTCTAAATTTTGAAAATAGAACTACCATGCAATCTAGCAATCAAGATGTCATAGGGATATCTACACTTCCATGTTCAGTGCAGCCAAGAAATGAAAACAACCTAAATGTGGTCAACTGATGAATGGATGAAGAAATCATGATATACAGCAACAATTAAGAATATTTTGGCAAAAAAGGAAAATGAAATCCTCTCATTTGCAACAATATGGATGGAACTGAAGATCAATTATGTTAAGTGAAATAAACCAGGCAAAGAAAGAAAACTATTGCATGATATCCTTCACGTGAGATTTAAAAAATTGAAGTTGAGAATAAAATGTTATCTCTAAGGCCACAGACAGTAGGAGGAGGGAAGAGAAGTTGATCACGGGATACTTTGTCAAATAGCAGCTAAGAAATTCTGATGTGGTAAAAGAGTAACAAAGTATGATATAATTCAAAAAGCTAGAAGAAAAGATTTTGTGTTCTCAACATAACAAAATAAAAGAGATATGTTTAACCTGATTAAAATATTAATCAATGTACACATGTATCAAAACATCAGATGGAAGACTAGATGTAAAGTTCAGTGAAAGATCACTTTCCTTGCATGGATGAGGCCCTGGGTTCCATCCCCTGCACCCCAACTCTCGGGATCACATGGTATCTCACAAATGTGTATAATTTTTATGTTTTCCATATCAGTTAAAAAATAAATTTAAATAAATTTTTAAATGTCAAATAAAAGATCTGGGAGAATCTAGTATTTATATGTATCTAAATTCTTAAAAATCAACAAGCTTGAAGATTTACAAGATAAGAAAAAAAAAAGGTTCTGACACTTTGAAATTTTATCTTTATTAAGTTCTAAGATCTGAAGCCAACCACAGTATGGAGCTTTTTAAACTGAGTCACTGTTTCTTACAGTAAGATCTAGCTTCTTATACTATTAATAAAACTCTATTTTTTATAGTATCAGTAAACCCTATGTGTTTTCTAAAATATTCTTCATCCAGAGAAGACTCCAGGTTTGTGAAAAAAGAAAAGAAATTTAAATCTAAAGTTAAACATATACTAGCTTGGCAAAATTCAACAAAATTACTTAACTTATCCTTGCCTCACATTCCCCACTTGTTTAATTTGGTTGATACCATCTACCTTCCCTTGGCTTTGATGAGAATTAAATTACATATGTAAAGAAACTAATATAGTAACGAGCATATAATATGAGCTCATCAATTAATAACTTTTACTAACTCTCCTATCTTCAAGAAATTAACAGGAACCATTTTAATTTCAAATTAACTAAGGCTATCATAAATAAATCTGTCTGTATGCATATGTGTACATTAAACAATTCATACTGGCCCTATACCTGAGCTTTTAAGGTGGAAGATATTTTGGCATGTCAATCCATAATAATTTTAAAAAGACTCAATTGAGATACTAACACAAGCAGTTGTGCATATAATAATGAGAAGAGAATTCTAAAGGCAGACTTCATATGAGAACTGAATAAAAAGTAGTAGTAGTAATAATAATAGTAGTAGTAGTAGTAGTAGTAGTAGTAGTAGTAGTAGTAGTAGTAATTGATGAAAAGTAAACCCAATTTAGAAATCCTGGATTAACCATTGGATAATAACCAAGATGTTAATATGCTTTCAAAATAAATTTAGAAAGGGTTAAATGTAAATTAACTAATGCTAATTTTAGATTTCTACATAGTTAACAATGAGATAATATATGGGAAGTCAGTATACAAATCTATTGATATTTTGTTTTGGGGAATTCTGGAACATATTGCAATTAATATCTAACAGAAAATGTAAAATTAAATTTCTTGCTATTCTATTCCTATTCGATGAATAATTGAAGTGTCAAGATATAATAGTCAAAACATTATATGGACAAATGGAAGATTAGGGGTTTGCTTTAGGGGAATGTTTGAATACAGAAATTTTAAAAATGCTTTCTCTTAAACCTGAGTTTTTCATTAACATCCTTTTTATCATCACATTTAAAGTAAAACATAATTCCAGACTTTTTTTTTAATTTTTCACTTTTTTTATTAACTGAGGACTGAAGCCAGGGGCATTGAACCACTGAATTATATCACCAGCCTCTTTAAATTTTGAGACAGGGTCTTGCTAAGTTGCTTACGGCCTTGCTACATTGCTGAGACTGGCCTCAAACTTGCAATCATCCTGCCTTAGCTTTCTGAAATACTGGGACTTCAGAATTATGTGCCATGGCCTAGTTAAAATTTCTCTAAGTTTAAATTTTGATGAACAAAACCACATACTCAAATCTCTTGGCCAAATTTTACAAGCAAATATGAAGCTTCAAACACAATACACAGCCAAGTGTGGTGTTGCATGCCCGTCCGTAATCCCAGCAGATTAGGAAGCTGAGGCAGGAGGATTGTATGTTCAAAGCCAGCCTCAGCAATTTAGTGAGGCCCTAAGCAACTTAGCAAGACCCTGTTGCAAAATTAAAGACCCTGTCTCAAAATTAAAAAGAGAAAAAGGGCTAGGAATGTATTTCAGTGGTTAAACACTCTGGGTTCAATCCCTGGTACCAGGAAAAAACAAAACAAAACAAAAAAGAATACATATATGGGCTGTGTACACCCATGCACTCATATATATATATATATAGAAAAAAGACAGATGTGAGATTTATAAGCCTCTTGGAGAATTATTTATTATTTACAAAAACAAAATCACTGTAAAGAAAATAAAATGATGCATTTGGCTTCCTCTCAAAAAAAATGGATACCTATTTTAAAGCTTATAATTATACTAAAATTCACATTAGATTTATATTAAAAGTTACAGACAATATATTCTTAATATATATTAATATATTATAATTACTATATAATAAGTGCTATATATTTCACATGTTATTGGTAAAAATTTACTAACTAACTCATTTTCTATCTTAAGTTTTGATAATATATAAATATACACACATCTAGAGGCATATAGGTGTGTGTTACTGAATTTCAATTTTGTATAGAGAATTTTAGGAAGTATTAAATGCTACCATTGATAAAACTTACGAATCAACATGCAGAACCCTCTGGCCACTCCTTGAACATGCAGCCGCAATGATGGATTCAGGCAAACCTATAAAAACACACACCTATATCATTTAGAATGTAGAAATATATATTTATTTTACATAAAATGTTCAATTCATGCTATCACAGTATAGAATAGCTTACCAAGAGACTCAACCTTGTATTTGACATTGTAAAATCTGTATTAATTTCACTTTTAGATATTTCCCTTTTTTAATTTTTTAGTTGTTGGTTGACCTTAATTTATTTACTTATATGTGGTGCTAAGTATTGAACCCAGTACCTTACACATGCTAGGCTAGCATGCTACCAACTAAGCCATGACCTCAGCCCTAGACATTTCTTAAACATACTAACACTGAAATTTTTATTACGTGGTAGAAATAGTCTATAAAAACAAGAACTTAAATTATTTTTACCTGAAAATTATCATAATGAGCAACTAAAGGCATAATGTTCATATAGAGTTTTATTATTAGGAACCATGTTAACACACTAGTTAATCTGATACAACTGCACTGAGAGATAAGAATCTGATACAGTCTAGAAAGGAAAAAGAACCTGAGTTCAAATATGTTAACTTTGTTGCTCACTGCTTAAAAATAAGATTATAGAGTTGAAATCTGAACTCAAAATCTAAATCCAAAGCCACAATGCTTCTAATACAGAATAGCTCACATTTTTTAGTTACAGAAATACGTTAGTTTTTTGGCCAGGTGCAGTGGCGGACGCCTGTAATCCCAGCGGCTCAGGAGGAGGAAGCAGGAGGATGGCGAATTCAAAGCCAGCTTCAGCAATTTAGTGAGGTGCTAAGCAACTCTGTAAGACCCTATCTCTAATAACATACAAAATAGGGCTAGGGATGTGGCTCAGTGGACAAAATTAAAAAGAGAAAAAGTGCTTTGTTTTCTGAAATTCTGGGTCATACTGCAATTAATATCTAACAGAAAATGTAAAATTAAATTTAAAGTTCAATCCCTGGTACCACCCCCCCAAAAAAATTAAAGAAATATGAGGCCACTTAAAATATGTATTATTTTCCTTTTCGTTCAGTACAGCAGTATGAAAAGAAAACATTACTGTTCTGGAGTCAAATGTAGTCATGCCATAAAGCTGATTATCATATAATGAAATATATATTATGACTATCAGTATGAACAAAAATTAAACTACCAAAGATAATGCTTTGCTAATAAAAATAAATTCAGGTTTTGTGCTACATTAGATAGTTAAATATTCTATGCTGCAAGACGCTTCCATAACCTTTTATCACAAGATCTTCCATTTAAATGGAGGCTATTAAAATCTTTTATATCAATCATAGAAATAAATCATGTTTTTAAAGTTTAGTGCAACTCTATAGAGCTACCATTACCGTGAGACATCTTGACTCTCCTGTATTTTTACTTTATGGTAGAAAAGATACCACCATTTTTTGGCAAGAGTATGAACTACATACTGAGTGTCAAGGAAAAGTAATAGGTACATGGAAGGAATTGTCACAATCTGTACTTAAAACCACATTAAACACAAGGTCAATCTACCTTTAGGAACTAGTTTTTCAGGGTTGAATATTTTGAGGGCATATAATATTTGGCTCAAAAAAAGAAGTTCTGACCAAATGTACTGAACATAACCATTAAACATCAGTTATCAGAAAGAAGCCATCATAAAGTTCCAACATTAACTTTGGATATAATTTTTTTTACAAAACAAGAATTTTGAGTAGAAAGAAATTTTTCATGTTAAGACTATCTGAAATTTTTGTTCTACTTAAAGAAATAATTTTCTTTTAATTAAATGTAATCACTATGAACCTTTAAAAGCCAATACACAGCATAGTTCAAAGGGTAACAGCAAAAAATTACTTAGGAAAAAGAATTAGCAAGTTAAAGATCAATGCTTTTACAAGTAATAATAGTATTATCAAACCCACTTATATTATAGGGTTTTACACTTCACACAATATTTTAGTGTACATCATCTCATGTATTTCTCATTATAATCATGAGGGGCAGAAAGTAGTAGCCATGTGAGGAAATGAGTTTGAGCATGTTGCCAAATACCAACTTATACAATATTGCCAATTAAAAAACCATGGGAATTCACTATCTCAGACTTGGACAGAAGTTTGAGACTAAGTACTTAAGGGCAGTCTGGCAACACAATAAAATGGGCATGGTCTCAATCTGACAGACCTTGCTTTGAATCTTAAGATTACTATGCAAACCTCAGACAAGTCATTGACTTGTCTTTGTTTCTTCATCAATGTAAATATTGCCATCTACCTTATAGTACTGTTCAGTTGTTAGCAAAGGTAGTTACCAAATGAATGCCATCTACATTGTTTTTGGTACCTGGGATTGAACTCAGGGGCACTGAACCACTGAGCCAAATCCCCAGCTCTTTTGTGTATTTTACTTAGAGACAGGGGCTCATTGAGTTGCTTGGCACCTCTCTTGCTGAGGCGAGCTTTGAACTCAAAATCTTCCTGCCTCTGCCTCCTGAACAGCTGGAATTACAAGCATGCGCCACTGCACCTGGCCTATCTACTCTTATCCTTCAGAAAATATTTTAGATTCTAGCTCTAGTGGCAGACAATAATATTACTCTTCTCCATTTGGCTCAAAATACCTATGACTTTGGGTAGGCGGACATGTGTGTGGTTATATTCATGCCTATAATCAACACTGTCAGAAGTCAAGTCTCTACTGATGAAGCAATGCCAAATGGATTTCAATTCTGAATGATTTGAGTTCAGATTATATAAAACCAAATGACTATCATTTGTGTTTTTCCTTAATTCTTTCATCTAGACATCCCCAAAAGTTTGTCAAATCAATAGGCTGTTCCAATGTTAAATGGCATATTATCTCCATTCTTAAAATAATTAAAATTACAGTGAAGAATACAGATAGCAATGTCTTTCTAGGCAAATTCTTATATTTCTTCCAACCTATTTTTAAAAAAAGAAGAAGTTACTTGAACAAGGAAGAAGGCATGCAGGAGATTATCTTCAACTACTTGCTTAAGAAAAGGAGAAAAAAGAAAATGAGGGGAAAGGAGAAGGCAGGAAGTCTAGAGCAGATTCTCAGGTGGTGGGGGAAAAATCATTAAGATAATTCCTAACCTGAAAAAGCTCTGAGTCTAAAGAAATAATTTAAAGAGATTAAAATAATGAGTCTATTTCAGACTGTTACAGGAACACAATGGAAAGAAACATTCCCACTATAAAAGGGAGAGATGGAAAGTACCAAAGAAGAGACACTAGCTGGATCTTTCAGGGTCTAACCACCTAAATTGAAGGGTATAAAAGTAAAAAGGAAAGTGCAAAGGAGAATTCTTGGCAAAGAGTAAAGGAAGAAAGAACCAAAAGGTAATGCTTTAAAAAAATATATGGTTGGGCAGGCTTATTTCACTTAGCATAATGTTTTCAAGGGTCTCTATGTCGCAGCTTCAGTATTTTTAATTAATGAGTATTATTTCAGTATATGGCTATATCACATTCACTTTATCAATTCTTCCACTGTTGAAAATTTATATCATTCTTACTTCTTAGTTATTGTGAACATTACTGCAGAAAACAGACTGATTGAAAGAAGACAAATAATGCATGGTTCTACCTACCTGGAATATCCAAAATGGCAAATTTATACAATCAAAGAATAGAATGGTGGTTGCCAGAGGTTTGGGGAGAGGGAAATGGGGAGTTGTTAATGAATGGGTATAAAAAGTAACAATTACCCAAGAGGTATAGGTTCAAAAGATCTGTTGTACAACATTGTACTTATAGTTAACAGTGTACTATACACTTAAAAATTTCAGAGGGTAGATCTCATGTTAAATGTTCTTACTACACTAAAACAGTTTTTTTAAGGTGGCTGAAGCCAAATAGTAGAGTTATGTACTTGATCCTCTAAGCCATGGCAATCTTGAAAAGGATTTTAACCAGAATAGAATGGTCAAATCAATGTATCAGGGAAAAAGAAACTCTACTCACAGTATGGAGAATAAACCTGCATATAACTGGAGCTTTAAGTTTAAAAATAAATTCTTATTTAGGAAGACAGAACACAATTAAACCTTTTGTCTTGTTAGTAATTTGGTGAAATAAGCAAAATGACTGCATGATCTGTTTAAATTAATATCTGTAAACTTCAATTTAGTAGCATTTAAACCCAATTAATTTAAAAATAAAATCATTTTTAATGCTTAAAAAGTAAACAATGTCTGAATAACTACTCAAATTCACACAAAGTCCTACTGAGGCATTTATATAGAACATACATAGGCTTATAATGAATTATACAATCTCTCCCATAAAGAAAAGTCAAACATGAGTTATAAACAACTCAGATCAGAGTGAAATCACAGCATTTCACTGGAAACACTCCACAAAGATCCAATATGATATGAAACACCTTATACAGTGCCTCTTGGCATGTTGCTAAAATTTGGTAAATGTTGAGTCTCTTCCCTCTTCCTCCTACTCTTTCAGAAAGATTAGTTATTTGAGGAAGAAAAAAAAAGGTTATCACTTGCTTATCATTTATTTATCTTCAAAACTTTAACTTAAAATTATTCTTTTAAAAGCTCCTTTTATATATGTACACAGTTGAAAATCAAATATTTGTTATCATTTAAACATTTAATATTATTAAATTCATTAGAAAAACTGTGCTAAAGAACTTGGTCTTGCAATAGGATCACAGAAAACTTGCATAATTCTGATATAATATCAATAACGTGGATAAATCATTTTATTAAACATAGGTAAACATAAGATATGAAATTAGCACTTCATAAAAATTATAATGAAGGAAATTGAGATTAGCTTCATCACATCCTTCTCAGTAAAGGTTCTGTTTTAAAGTTGGCAGCTAGCAAAAATTACATATTTGATGTATGGAATGTTGCATGACCGTATACCATCATGTCTGGTCTTAATTTTCTGCCATTTTCTAAAACCTATATAGATAAAATAAAGATATTTCACTATCAAATAAAGAACTAGGCTAAAATCAAGGTCAAAAAAATGGAATTAAC